GTTCATGACCCATATCTTCTCGCCACGCAGTAGGTAGGAGCCACCGACCCAGCCAACCCAGCTCCCCCAACTCCCTCCCACAGAGGGTGGCCTTAGATCATGTTTTGCCAGATCATTTCCAATAGCTGCCCTTGTCATTTCGTCTAAACCAATCAGAGAAGTGTAGGGTTTAACATCATCAGTCACTGGGGAGATCTCTGGGCCCAGCAACCTCCTGAAGACTTGGCTGTTTGACCAGGGCAGATTATGGCATGTAACTGGGCTGAGCCCAGTGGCGGAATGTTGCTTCCTGGTGGAGTTTCTTGTTTAATCTCAGGCTGTCCGCCTCAGTCTGTAAGCGACCAGCTGGCTCTTCAGAGCAGTGCCACCTCCTGGCAGAACGCTGCAGTGGGGAAGCACATCTTCTCACAGTGAACCCCAGGTCTTCACAACCTGCCTTTTCTCCTCCCTCCTGGCTCCCTTCCTCTTTCTCAAAAAACTCATTCTTCTTCAGGCATTAGCTCTAATTCATTTTGCAGACATATACTCAAAATATAAGAAATGCTGGGTGTTGGCCCCAGTGCTAGAAATACAAAGATGAATAGGCTTAGTCTGCCTTCAAAGAGCTTAGAGTCTAGTGCTGAAGGAGAGGGCCAAGGGATAATTACCAAACAATGTAACGTATTCAAATAAGAATGTGCCAAGTGTTTTGGAAGTAGCAGTAATTTTATGAGGATGCGGAATAGGAGGAACATAATCAGGCAGGCCCCTAAGAATCTTGAAGGAAAAGCAATTTGACCAGCAGAACATGAAGGAAGAGAAAAACATTCCAGGGCAAAGGATAGGCAGAAGTACAAAGATCAAAGACGTCCAGAGCTGCTTCTTGGAGACCCTGTGTACTAGCTGATATGAATGTTGTGAAGGTTGATTGTGTGTTCCTGCATGATAATAGGAGGTAATGGGGGGTAGAGGGACGTTGTGATGAGCTACAAATTCAGGCAAGAGCCAGATCACATGGACCCTGCTACACCACAAGGTGGAGCTTGCTTTTACTTAGCAGATGATACGGATATTAAAACTGGGGAATGACACAATCATTTTAGCATTTTAGAAAAAAAAAAGTTCTGATTGATATTTCAAAGAACGAACTAGAGCTTTTAAATAATTGAGGTGAAACTGCTGGGCAAGAGTCTATAGCATACAAAGATGAACAGTTGCATATACACACACCACACTCTTGTAGCAATACAGCAATAATTTAAATGACAGATGATAAGGGCCTGAATTAAGTCATAATTAGAGGAGGCAGAGGAGATAGAATATAGAGATAATTAGGAAGTGGAATCTAAAGGGTTTGGCTACTGGTTAGCTGTGGGAGTGAGAAGGTGGAGGAGTCAAGGATATCTCAGGTTTCCAGCGTGGGTGGCTGGGTGGGTGGTCAGGGATGGACTGAATTGAAGCAGAAAAGAATGCCATGGGAGCAAGTTTACAGGGGAGAGAAAGAGCTTGATTTTGTACATGTTGAATTTGAAATACAAGTAGAATAGCCAGCTGAAACTGCACAGTAGGCAGTGAGGTGTGTGGGTATGGACCCCAGGTAGTATGGTCTGAAGAGCCTGATTTGGGAGTCATCAGCACAAATGTCAAAGCAGAGGCCATGGATAAGATCACCCAGCTAAACTGTGCAGAAGGAGTGGGAAGTGAAACAAGGACAAAAGTATGCAGGGGGTCAAACCCCAAACCTCATACCAGTTATCCAGGATCCTGTCGGGAGCATTTAACCACTTTAGGTGCTTCAGACTGAAAGAATTTAATACAAAGAACTGGTTACAAAGGTGTTAAAAGGGCAAGAAGTACAAAAAAAAAAAAAAAAAAAGAGTCCTGAAATGTAAATTTTTTTAAAAAGAATCGCTATCTATAAATCAGAAGCTGGATAGATTTATCATTCCTGAGCTAGAATCCGTAAATCTCATTGCCTTGTGAGAGACATTGTCATAGTCAGTTCCAGTCTACTAAAAAGGTGCCATCTCCTTCAAGGCTAGACTCCTTGAGAGGTACTTCTTTTGCCCAGGAGGCTAGAGTCCTGAGTCTCCCATTCTTCCTGGGGCTACAACTACCAGCTATTGCCAGCAACTGTCAAGAGGCTGAAGCAGGATGCTTCTCAGTTTCTCCTGCCTTCTGATCTCCCGCCAGTGCCTCCTACTGGCAGAATCTAACAGGAAGCCAGCTGTCTGGGAAGGCTGAGAAATACACACCTGGCTGACTCCTAAGCTGAGCAGTTCAAAACACAGTAGCGGAGGGTGTGCGTGTCACTGAGACAAAAGATAATAATGAATACACAGAAATACCCTGGTCTGTAAGAATCTGGTGGCACAAGGAGCATCCAGAGTACTGAGAAGAACAAGGTAGAGGCAGATCAGAGAAATAAAAAAGAGATGCATCATGAAGGAGGGCAAGCTCAGCGTTTTTGAATACTACTAAAAGTCAAGGAAAAATTGAAAAATGTCCTTAGGTTTGGTGATTATGAGATGGCTGACAAATTTATTGAGAGCAGTTTCAGTGTTGTAGTGGGAGTCAACTCCAGATTGTGGTGGGCTGAGAAGTAAGTGGGAGGTGAGGAAGAAACTGTCAGTGTATATGCTTCAAGTTTGTTAGAGAAAAGAAAGAGAAAGACAGAAGGGGTGGGGGAAGAGGCAGTGTGAAAGCTCCAATGTGGCAATCAAGTTATCTGAGAAATTAATATATATGAATATTGTCCATCAGTGTTTCTGAGGCTTTCAAAATTCATACCTTCCCTCTCTTTTTTTTTTTTTTTTGAGACAAAGTCTCTCCTGTTGCCCAGGCTGGAGTGCAGTGGCTACTAACAGGTGCAATCATAACTCACTACAGCCTTGAACCCCTGGGTTCAAGCAACCCTCCCACCTCAGCCTCCCAAGTAGCTGGGGACTACAGACACATGCCACTGCACCTGGCTTCATACCCTCTTTTGATAAACAAGTAACAGCAGCAGTAATAGCCAAAAACAAAAACAGCCCCATGATCTCCTAGATATTCTGGAACAGCAATGTGTAGATATGTGTGTGTGTCTGTGTGGTGGAGGCAGGGTGCCAGGGTAGGACTAGGGTCTGGAAATCATTGTAACTCCCCAAAAAACAAAAGAACATTTCCCAGTATCCCAACCTTTATGGACTAACCCATCAGTGGTTCTGGCAGTGGGGAGACTCAGGCCCCTCGGAACAGAAGTTGTTTATAAGACTACTGCGGGGAGACTTATGGGACACAGCCACCTAGAGTCCTAAACCAGGGGTTAGTAAACGTTTTCTGTAAAGGGCCAGATGGCAAATATTTTAGGCGTTGTGGGCTATCTGATCTCTGTCATGAGTACTCAACTGTGGCACGAAAGGCTCCACACGCAGTATGTAAATGAAAGAGCATGGCTGTGTTCCTAGTTTCCTCCTAACTTTTCCTCCCACTTCTCGAGCATCTCCTTCTCTGTCTCCCTCATAGACTCCTTCCTTTCAGCTACTCTTTAAATACTGGTGTTCCCTGGAGTTTTGTCCACAGCCCTCTTTTTATTTATGGACACTAAAATTCAAATTTCCTGTAATTTTCATGTGTCACGAAATATTCTTCATTTGCTTTTATTTTTCCCAACCATTTAAAAATGTGAAGACCATTCTTAGCTTTTAGGCCATTTAAAAACAGGTGGTAGGCAAGATTGTGCTCACAGCCCATAGTGTGCTGAATGATGCTCTACACATGTGGTCAGAATTAGGATGAAAACCCCAGATAAACCAACCTTTCAAAGAAGAACCTCAGTCCCCTTATTATTGGATTGGCAATCAAACGAACGCTTTGTGCCAGTTATACCAGTTTATTTGGAAGGAGATCTGGGGAAGAACAGGAGAAAGTAGACTGGGTGGAAGGGCATAGAAATAGGCACAGCAGACACTGCAATTGCTCTGGGTGAGAGGAACAAGGCAGAGGGGTCCAAGTTATCCATCCAGAGCACAGTGTAGACAAGACCAGAGTGAGGAGAAACATAACCACCCCTCACCATAGTCTTGGTGAGAACTATGGGGAGAACTCCATTCTCCCCTTCTATAATCTCAGTTTAAATGGTAACAAGTTCAAACATTTATAGTTACTCTTCCCTCTGTGTAATCCTTCCCCACTAGGACTTCCCAACTACCTCCATCGTAAGTATCTTGGGAATAGTCTCTCATCAGTTTGGAAAGTGATCATTGCGGGCAAGAGATGAGCAAGGCAGCCAGTTCTGCCTTGCAGTAGTTCACTGTCTACTTTGTCATTAGCTATGAATGCCTCCAAAAATAATGGCACAGCACCGGTAAACCCAGGAGGCTCTGGCTTTCTAACAGTCAGCTCTGCATCCCTTTCTAGCATTTAAAATGGACTCTATTTTTTCCCCTGGCAGGGTCAAATTTCTTAGAAAAGTCATGGGCAACTGTGGCCCCACTCTCATACTTGCCATTTAATCTTTTAACTCTCAACAATGCAATTGTTCACCAATACTTTTGTGTTGCCAAATCAAATGAACTCCTACAGTCTCCGCAACATTTGACACTGTTGGCCATACCCTACCTCCTAAATTGGTCAAATTTTTGGCATCCCTGATGGCACTCTCTCCTAGTTTCTCCTCCTACTTTTTTGGCATCCCCTTTTCAGTCCCTTTGGGACTCCTTTCTTTCAGCAACCCTTTAAGTATTGGTGTTCCCTGGAGTTTTGTCCCCAACCTTTACTCTTCTTAGACTATACACTTGCCCTGGATGGTCTCATTTACTCCCACAGCCTTCAGTTAGCACCCATTTGCTAATGTCTTCCAAGCTTACCTCTTCAGCTCAGATCTTGCTCTGAGTTCCACACTACCCATATACCAATGGCTTCTGGTTATCTCCACTTGAATGCTGTGCAATAAGATAATAGCATTCAAGAAATAAAAAAAGTAAGTTTAATGATACCAATCTTTTATTTTTGAATTTATTTCAACATAGACATAATACATCAAACATGTTTATATAATAATTTTTATTATGTAACAATTTATTGTATTTATTAAGTCTATTTTATTTGCAAGCAATAGAAACCAATTTTAGCTAACTTAAATTTTTAAAATTAGGATTTATTGTAAACATACTGATCTGACTCATGGAATAAAAGTAATAGTTGGATAAGCTAGCCTCAGGTAGAACAGCCATAGGGACTTTAGCAGCAGAGGTTGAGTTGCCAATAATATGCTCACCTGCGAAGGCCTCCTGCCTCTTTATCTTTCAAATTTTGCTTTGCTGGCAGAGACTCTTTTACTAGCTCAGCTTGTATTAGGTATGTACCACTGGATTCATTGGTTGTGGCCAGATACAGTATCACCTCTATGGATTAGAGCTATTCCTAGAGAAGGAGAATCATATGAAAAGTTATCACCTCAATTTCTTATCCAGCCAAACTAAGCTTCACAAGCGAAGGAAAAATAAAATCTTTTGTGAACAAGCAAGTACTTAGAGATTTCATCACCACCAGGCCTGCTTTACAAGAACTTCTGAAAGAAGCACTACACATAGAAAGGAACAACCAGTATCAGCCTTTCCAAAAATATACCAAAAAGTAAAAAGTATCAACATAATAAAGAATTTACATCAACTAATGGGCAAAACAGGCAGCTAGCATCAAATGGCAGTATTAAACTCACATATATTATTACTAATCCTAAATTTAAATCGACTAAATCCCCCAATCAAAAGATACAGACAGGCAAAGTAGATAAAAAGCCAAAACCCATCGGTATGCTGCATCCAGACCCATCTCACATGCAAGGATACACAAAGACTCAAAACAAAGGGATGGAGGAAGATTTACTAACCAAATGGAGAGCAAAAAGAAAGAAAGAAAGAAAGAAAAAGCAGGAGTTGCAATTCTCGCTTCTGATAAAATAGACTTTAAAGCAACAAGATCAAAAGAGGCAAAGAAGGACATTACATAATGGTAAAAGGATCAATGCAACAAGAAAAGCTAACGATCCTAAATATATACGCACCCAATATAGGAGCACCCAGATACATAAGACAAGTTCTTAATGACTTATAAAGAGACTTATACTCCCACACAATAATAGTGGGAGACTTTAACATCACATTGTCAATATTAGATCAATGAGACAGAAAATTAACAAGGATATCCAGGACTTGAACTCAGACCCGGAACAAGTAAACTTAAAAAACGTTTATAGAACTTTCCACTTCAAATACACAAAACATACATTCTACATCACAGCTACTCTAAAAGTGACTACATAATTCAAAGTAAATCACTCCTCAGTAATTGCATAGCATTTCATAGGTTTAAATGAAATATTGGTTGGCTGCTTGTTTGTTATTTTCCTCCCTTATTCCTTCCTGTCTCCATTGTTAAGCACAATTATTGGCATAAAAGAGGTTTTCAATACCCATTTTTAGACTGCATTCTAGCCTGGGCAATAAAGCAATACTCCCGTTCTCTCTCCCTTTTTCTCTTCCTCTTTCTTCCTCTCCTTCATTCTTTCTTTTTTTTAATTCTTTTTTTTCTTTTTTTCTCTATTTCTTTCTTTTTTTTTTCTTTTTCTTTTTAAAAAAGAAAAAAAAAATAAATGAATTTGAGCCATAAATTTGGTTGAAGGCAAGAAGGAAAAAAAAAAGAAAAGTTACCACCTCAATACAGCTATTTTCAACATATGACATCTCAGACAATTGTATGAGATCATCTGAGGCATAAACATATGGTTACATCTGTTTACTAATGCTCAAATAACACTTCCTAACTACCTAGGTGACAGATGTCATCTACTTGCTGATCTCTGGTCTGTCACTTATCACATATTCAAATTACACTTATCATATGATTCAATATTGATTTATTAATTTAAAATTGTATACTCCACAATTTCCTTTGAACCTCTGACTAAAAGTTTTTTTTTTTTTTACTTTGAAAAACTCCAAGCACACACAGAAGAATCTCATAAACTCCAATGTACTCTCATGAATTTTAACAATTTTCAACATTTAACATTCTTCCACTCTTGTTTCATCTATTGTTCTGCATTTTTTTTGGGGGGGGGAGCATTTTAAACAAATTCTGTCATTACATTTCACCAGTAAATACTTCTAGGCATATCTATAATAGAAAATAACCTTTTTTTTTTAACAAAACTATAATGCCATCACCACAACCAGTAAAATTAAAAATTACTTAACTTCTTTTTGCTTAGTATTGTATTGGCTATGCGGGCTCTCTTGTGATTCCATATGAAGTTTAAAGTGATTTTTTCCAGTTCTGTGAAGAAGGTCATTGGTAGCCTGATGGGGATAGTGTTGAATCTATAGATTATTTTGGGGAGTATGGCCATTTTCATGATATTAATTCTTCCTAACCATGAGCATGGAATGTTTCTCCAGCTGTTGTGTCCTCTCTTATTTTGTTGAGCAGTGGTTTGTAGTTCTCCTCGAAGAGGTCCTTTACATCCTTTGTTAGTTGTATTCCTAGGTATTTTATTCTCTTTGTAGCAATTGTGAATGGGAGTTTGCTCTTGATTTGGCTCTCTGTCTGTTATTGGTATACAGGAATGCTTGCGATTTCTGCACGTTGATTTTGTATCCTGAGACTTTGCTGAAGTTGCTTATCAGTTTGAGAAGATTTTGGGCCGAGACGATGGGGTCTTCTAGATATACAATCATGTCATCTGCAAATAGAGACAGTTTGACTTCCTCCTTTCCTAATTGAATACCCTTTATTTCTTTTTCTTGCCTGATTGCTCTGGCTAGAACTTCCAATACTATATTGAATAGGAGGCGTGAGAGAGGGCATCCTTGTCTAGTGCCTGATTTCAAAGGGAATTCTTCCAGCTTTTGCCCATTCAGTATGATATCGGCTACAGGTTTGTCATATATAGCTTTTATCATTTTATGATACGTTCCGTCGATACCTAGTTTATTGAGTTTTTAGCATGAAGAGCTGTTGAATTTTGTCGAAGGACTTCTCTGCATCTATTGAGATAATCGTGTGGTTTTTGTCTTTGGTTCTGTTTGTATGATGGATTACGTTTACGGATTTGCGTATGTTGAACCAGCCTTGCATCCCCGGGATGAAGCCGACTTGATCGTAATGGATAAGCTTCTTGATGTGCTGTTGCAATCTGTTTGCCAGTATTTTATTGAAGATTTTTGCATCAATGTTCAACATAGATATTGGCCTGAAGTTTTCTTTTTTAGTCGAGTCTCTGCCTGTTTTTGGTATCAGGATGATGTTGGTCTCATAAAATGAGTTAGGGAGGATTCCATCCTTTTGTATTGTTTGATACAGTTTCAGAAGGAAGGGAACCAGCTCCTCTTTGTACATCTGGTAGAATTCGGCTGTGAACTCATCTGGACCTGGACTTTTTGTGGTTGGTAGGCTATTGATTGCTGCCTCTACTTCAGCCCTTGTTATTTGTCTATTCAGCGTTTCAACTTCCTCCTGCTTTAGTCTCCATTTGACCCAGCAATCCCATTACTGGGTATATACCCAAAGAACTATAAATTTTTCTACTTTAATGACACAGGCACACGTATGTTCATTGCAGCCCTGTGTACAATAGCAAGGACCTGGAACCAACCCAAATGCCCATCAATGATAGACTGGACAAAGAAAACATAGTACATATACACCATGGAATACTACGCAGCCATTAAAAATGATGAGTTTGTGCCCTTTGTAGGGACTTCGATGAATCTGGAAACCATCATTCTTAGCAAACTGACACAAGAACAGAAAGCCAAACACCACGTGTTCTCACTCATAGGTGGGTGTTGAACAATGAGAACACGTGGACTCAGGGAGAGGAACATCACACACTGGGGGCAGTTGGGGGGAGTAGGGCAGAGTGGGGAGGGATAACATGGGGAGAAATGCCATAGATAGTGTGCATTTAAAGTAAAATAAAAACATAAAAAATAAATTACTTAACTTCATTTAACCCAATCTGTTAATTTCTTCTAATTATCTCAAAAATGTCTAAGAGAATGAAGTTTCAAATATTTATAATGTCTTATAATTTTCAAACTGTGCCATTAGTTTAAAAAATTGATTAGTTTTCTATTTTATGTTTCATAAACCTACTGCTGGTTCAATAATGAATTCCAATTAGGTATTCCATAGGCAAATAGACTTAGGAATTGCTACTCTGAATGTATCTCCATCTCAAGATCACAAGACTACACTCATCACTTTCCCTTTCCAATATATTCCAACTCGTCTCCTATATTTAAGACTTCAGTGAATAACAAGATGTCCACCTGAGCTACAAATGTGGGTCATCCTTGAGGACCCCATCTTCCTCAAACCTTCCCATCCAATTGCCCTAACAATTCCACCTTTCTAATAGCTCTTGAATCTTCCTTTCTTTTCTTTCCATTCCCACTGGTCCAGGTCTTCAGTGTTCGGTTTTCACCAGGTTATTGCAACTTTCTTATAATTGGTCGGTTGCTCTCTCTCTCTCCAATCTTATTACTTTTGACCATGCTGCCAGAAGGATATTTTTGTTATGCTTAGTTGATCATATTACACTTCTGCATGAAAACCTTCCATGATTCTCAATCATCGACTTTCCTTGTCATGACCCTTAATGACCTGAAGTCTACTTATCTACTTCTATATATCCTTTCAGGAGAAATCTCACTCCTCTCAGGGAGCCTTCTCTGAACTCAGAGTTCAGATTAGTAGCCTATTAAGTACACTTCCAAGGTATCCTGTGCCAGCCATTATCATCATTTATATTGTATTATTCTCTTCCATTTATATGTCTGTTTCATAGTCACCTCACCTCTACTACAGGTCCTTAGGGGAGGGTGTACTTTTTTAATATATTCCCGGAATCCACCAAGAAGGCCTACCAACAAGTGACCATTCACTTGATGAACAAATGGGATACCAGTCTCTGAAAATGGAAGAGCCTTCAAGTATTAGATAGTGATGGATTGTCCCTTCTAACACAGATGTTTCAAAAGTAAATCTTATCAGGCATATCTATGAGCCATTCTACACCTCCACACCTTCCCTATGCACTCTACTACCCTTTCAGTTCCATTCTAGCTCCTTCCCAGCTCCTTGCCAACTACCGTTTTCTTCCTACTCCCTGCCACTTCCTGTTTCAGAGCAACCCTGGCCATCCAGCTCCCACATTAACTCTTATTTCTACCTTAGTATATTTAACCATACCCATATTCATCCTTCCGTTTTAGTGACATTACTATGACGCAGCAATCCTTACAACTATCTATAAGGTTTTAATTTATTATCCCCATTATATATACAAGAAAGCTGTGACTCAGAAAGGTTCATTCATTTCTTTAGCAAATATTTATTGGGCACCTTCTATGTGTCTA